TTTAAAATCATAGGATCATGAGATCTTTCGTCATGACTTCAATATGTAATGTCTACGTAAACTCTAGTCATAAGGTCCCTATATAAAACCAAGGAAAAATAAACGAAGGAAGACGTACTGAAAAGTAATAATACATTGTATTTAGAAAATTAGCTTAATTTTATTGCAAAGTTATCTAACTATAATAATCATGAATGATTCAACTCCATACAAAATTTTGGTCGCGATTGAAGAAACAGAATTATCATGCAAAGCGCTTAAACACGCGTTCGATTTATGTTCAAGATTAAATACGCCATATAGCTTGGAAGTCGTCTATGTCATTGCATTGAATCCAGAGGCTAATGTCCCATTTTTGTAAGTTTGACGTGTTGTTGTACTCACTTGAATATACTATAATATTTACTGAGCCTTTTATTTTAAAAAAAATATATATATAAATATAATAATAATAATAATAGACATAATTTGGACAAAGCCAACAACCTTGATATCCTTTTAGATTCGGATGAACCCATAAATAAAATTAAAGAACGTTTAAAGAAACACGAAAGCATTTATGTAAGCAATCTGTTACCGTAATCTACCATAAAATATATTAATTTATATTAATCTCATTGATGGAAATAAAATAGCCAAACGTTCAATATAAATTTAACAAGCTTGAAGGACATGGAGTAGTTGGGAAAATTTTAAAAGATTATGTTGAAACTCATATGTCTGACTTAAATCTACTAATTGTTGGATCAAGAGACCTTGATACATTAAAAAAGGTTTGATAATTATTTCTCAGAAATGCAATTTCTTTTTTATTCGATAATATTCATGACATTATTATTATTATTATTATTTTCTTTCAAGATCGTTTTGAGTTCTACTAGTGACTATTTGATTAAACATCTACAATGCCCTGTCACTATTGTTAAGCCATGATTATCTTATTACAGTATCATTGCGTTCTTATAATCTTATGTTAAACGTATAATTGCTAATGAGAATCATTACCAATTTAATGAATATATATATATAAGAACTATTCTAAAAAACGTCTCGGTCATTAACTAATTTACCAACAAGTTGATATTTTACATTAAAATGACTATGCCAATCATTAAGACTTTCAATTTCCTCTCTAGTTAAATCTTCAAGAGTATCCAATGGTTGATCAATGGGTGTAAGCATGTCCACATCAAATGAATTTTTTGCTAAACCACGAGAAGCGTCTCGACCCGCAAAATTGCCATATGGTCCATCTATAAAATTTATAATTTCTAGCATTTTTAATAACAGTAATAATAATTTAGTTTTAATTAAATTTCAAACTATATATTTTTGCCTACCCGGTCCGTAAAAATTTCGACCTTTAGTAACATCATAAACATTACCACAAACTCCCATATAAATCTTTGTTTGTTGAGTTCTACCATCAAACTCTCGTAGTTGTTTTGGTGTATATTCTCGAAATACTGTGGTTTCCGTGTGTTTTGCTGTTGGCAAATTATAAGGTACTGGACTTAAATAAGAATAAATAACGTAAATTAGGAATCCTGATAAAAACCAGTTCAATGGATTTTCTTGAAACTGAGTTAAGAATGTTTCTTGTAGTGACATGTTTAACGAAATTGGTGAGCTTGGGAATTAAATTTTTTTTTTTTTTAAAAAAATAAAAAAAACTAACGAAAAGGTAACGTTTGGTTAAAAAGTTCTTCCGATCCGGTCTTGTAAAATAAAGTTTGGTACGGTCGGTCTAACCTATTTATTACTATACGTATTATTATCTTTTTTATTTCATAATTTTATATTTGTAAATCTAATAAATATTTGGAATTTCATATTTCTATTCTATTCTGTATTTTTTCATTTCTGTATTTATTTGTTTCACGCTTAAATTAACTTTTTTTATTTTGGGAAAGTTGTAATTTCCCAAATCTTTCTGTCGACTTCTATTCGGAATTTACTGTGGCTTATCTTACAATGGATTGATAAAATTTCAGCCATACGGGAATACTACGGGAATTAAAGATTTAGTTAACTATAAAACAGGTTTGTTTTCTATCTTGTTTTCAATTGTATTGCACCGCCGCAAACACTTCTGCATTTTTTTGCTTTGAATATTCGTTTTTCGGCCGGCTGTGTCTTAGTATTACTACCGTTTCATCGACCTAAAATAAAAAATTCCTTCATATCTTAATCGATTTTCAAAAAAAATCACTAATTAAAATTTTTTTCTATAAATCACTTTGGTTTGTTAGAGTAACACAACAGCTCAATCATTAAACAATTGTATCAAAAATGTAATAAAGAGATACCCAAGCAAACTAACTTGACCATAAATATTCTAAAGAAAATATTTTATTTTCCTTAGTTGTCGTTCTCTGTAAACTTATTTAAACCAATATCCTGTGTATCTGGCCTACTACTCTTCTTCGCTGATTATATGATATTACTAATTGTTCCTTAAAACTTTGGAACAATGAGGTCGCACCGACAGGCATTCACTCCTGTGCGTCCTTTTTTACTCTGGACACTCGTCTTATTATCTTTATTATTTATCTTTGCGTACGCAAAATCAAAACTTGACTCTAAAGAACTTGTCCGCTTTAATCCTCCTCACTTTTCAAGACTAGTGAGTGTTGTCAATGCTCTTCCTCCAAAGCTTGATCTTAGTCCAATCAACTTGGTTCTTATTTCTACACTGGATGGCAACCTGCACGGTGTCGACCGGTATACTGGTCATGTCTTATGGAGTTTAGAAGGTGCTACTGAAGGTTTTTTAATTAAAACGTTTACGCGTCCTGCTACTAAACAACCAAATGCAACTAATAACGACGACCGTGAAGAATTCGATTATTCTGATATCATATTATCCAAAGATCAAGATGATATTAATCATCATACGATCGATGATTCTCAACTCACTAAGCTAAATGGTGATCCTGAAGAAGAAGAAGATCCGGATCTTGAAATTACTTATATAGTTGAACCAAATAATGATGGTATTTTATACATGTTCTCTCCAAAAACCGGTCTTCAGGTAACTTTAATTATTTTATCATGGTGATGATGTCATTCGTGCTTAATGTTATTATTAGGGTATATGCAAATTACTTTTTTATTATTATTTATTCTATTTATATTATTGAACGAATTGTCTAATATATTTAATACTATTAGAAATTTCCTCAAACCGTTAAACAATTGGTCATGAATTCTCCATTTCGCTCTGTTGATGGTAAAGTATTCATAGTAGGAAGCAAATCTACAAAGTTCTTTGCTATCGATCCTGCTACCGGAAAAATTCTTCAATCATTCAATAGTGATAATGAATTAGAGAATGAATGCCCATCTACTGGTTCACTTCCTAGAGATGCTTTATATGTGGGCATGAATGGTAATTTCTTTTGAAAAATTAATTTAAAATATAATAATTTGATTTTTTAATAATTCATTTAAAAAAAAATTTGATTTTTTTAATAATCAATTTTAAAAAATTTTTTTTTTTTTTTTTTTTTTTTTTTTTAGCGTATAAAATTTCAATTTTTAATGAACGTGGTAAACCAAAATGGAACCTCACTTATACCGAATATGTTCCTCATAGCTTTGATGCTAATATTGAATTGATGTATAATACTTCTCCTGATGGTTATTACATTTCTTCTACTCATAACGGTGAAGTCCTTTCGACTGATTCTACAAACGGTAAAGTTTTCTATTTATAATTTTAAGTGCTATATTTTTTTTAAAAAAATATATATTATTTATTCATTCATTTATTTTATATTTAATATTTTCATATATATATATATATATTTCACATATACACATATCTATATATACATTTGATAAAAAAAAAAAGGCGAACATAACTGGTATCAACAATTTTCTTCCCCTGCTGTCGGGATTTTTGATGTATTGGCATCAAAGGAATTGTCGAGTGGTCTTCATGTAGTAAGACAACCAAGGCCTTCTGTTGCCTATTATAGTCATTTACCTAAACAAAAACCTTCACAATTATCTGCGTATGTTGGAAACATTGATGGTACTTTGTTTGTTATGTCAGTTGAAAACTATCCGTTAACTCAATCTATGCCGTTTGGTATACCCGGTAAAACTGATGAGGAAGAAAATAAGTTCATTAAACATGAAGGACGTTGCCACCCTGGTTCTTCGATATATCCAGAATGTTTAGTTGGAAATCATATGATGTCCACTATTGAGCAATCTGTACCTGTCATCGATCCACCTCTAAAAGATAAAGACAACACAACTCGGATTCCAAAAATTTCTTCTAAACCACAGATTGCAGCACAGGTCGGTATATCTTGGGCAATTATTATCTTAGTCATTGTTGGGTTCTTTTATTTGGGTGGAAGACGAGGAAATGGGCTCAGGCCTTCGTTAGAAAACAAAAGACGTTTTGGTTCTTTGTTTGAAAACAAATTTATGAATTTCTTTAAACAAAGTCCCCAGCGTGATTTTCCTGTTACTAAGCCTGGTGGAAAAAAAGATTCTCCGAAAAAGAATAAGAAACGTGGAAAGTCAACGGCAGTAGCAAAGAAACTGGATATAAAAGATGATGAAAAATTGAATAAATCATCCTCAACGAAAATTTCTACTACAAAAGAGATAACTGATGATATTAAAGTCCTTCCTATTGAAAATCCTATTTTGAATAATTATTCCACAACTGTAACTGCAACCATGACAACAGAAATTACTTCCTCTGTTTCGACCACTGTTAATGGTGAATTAAAATTGAATTCGTTGGTTGTTACGGATACTATTTTAGGTATTTAAACATATTTAAAATTGACTTACGATTATTACATTATATTAATATTTTCTTTCCTTTATTAATAAGGCTATGGAAGTCATGGGACTATTGTGTACAAAGGATCTTTTGAAGGTCGTGATGTTGCAGTTAAAAGACTTTTATTAGATTTTTATGATATTGCATATCATGAAGTATCATTATTACAAGAAAGTGATGATCATCCAAATGTTATACGTTATTATTGTAAAGAGCAAAGTGATCGATTTTTATATATTGCACTTGAACTTTGTCCCGCTTCTTTACATGATTTGATTGAGCGAGGTTCAACATTTCAGCACTCACATTTGTTGGCATCAATACATCCTCCTTCCAAGATTCTTTACCAAATTATCGCAGGTTTACATCATTTACATTCAATGAAAATAGTACACCGTGATATTAAACCACAAAACATATTAATAGCACCATCTAAAAACAAAAAAATTTCAAAAGACGGTGTTACACAAATACCATCTTTGAGAGTGTTAATATCAGATTTTGGTTTATGTAAAAAATTGGATGGTGAAACTAGTAGTTTTCATAATACAACAAACAATGCAGGTGGAACTATTGGTTGGCGAGCACCAGAATTATTATCACCACCATCACCAGATGGAATAAATATTGGTACAGAGGAAGTTTGGACATCAGTAGATCGTTTAAATGATAATTCTTTCACATCATCTTCATCAGGTTCTGATCATGATAATGGTCAACCACGAAGAGTAACAAAGTCTATAGATATATTTTCTGCTGGATGTTTATTTTATTATGTACTTTCTAATGGTGATCATCCATTCGGTGATCGATATTCAAGAGAGATAAATATTTTAAAGGGAGTTTATGAATTAAATAAG